AGGCTGACCTGGTACGGGTGGAAAGAGAATCAGGGTACCAGGTTCTGATGTTACTCTACATGTATTTTACATAATTCATATACACAGCTATTTTACAATTAGTGACAACACTGAAGCAAAATTTGAAACATAAATTTTAAAAAAATACAATCTTGAATGGGGCATATATTTAATATCATTTTTTTCTTCTCGAATTTTAAAACATTAATGTTTCAGAAACATCAATTTTTTGCTCCTTAATACACGTGTAACTATTTCATGCTATACTGGTATCTGCTGCTAGTCTCTCAGCTTCACAAACAAGATGGAGAGCAGGGCCGAGAAGAGACTGTCTGTACTGCAATCCCGAGGTTAATGCTCTATCTGGCTCTATTCAGTAACAACTATCTCCCATGATGGAAATACTCTATACCTGGGCTATCCAATGCAGGAGCTACCAGCTCCATGTGACTACTGAGCATGTAAAATGTGACTAGTGTGACCAAGGAAGTCAACGTTCAAGTTTTACTTAAACTCACCCTTTCTATAGCTTCTTTTTCCTGAGGCGTTACTTGAATGTAGTTCATGTGACCACTTCCAGCTTCTGCAATTCCTCCACTGCCACCTCCACCCCCTCCTCCTTGACCACCAGCTTCTTGAACTGGTTCATTTAACATCTGAATAAAATGCTCCTGGTGTTGGCTAATTTGCTGCAGTGATTTGAAGGACAGAGAAAAACAATACGTTGGCTAGATGTATCTCCAGGAAAATAAGAATTCTAATACAAACAAGAAAGAAAGCTATAACTTGCAACTGCATTATTTTAGAATGATTCTGGATTATCCACTCTTTGGAAGGATGTGATTTCTTGAACATTATTAAAGAAATTCAGTACTTCAAGTGAGGTAAACAGTGAAGAATTAAAAGAATTCAAATTATCTTTCATAAACAACCCCTCATCATTGTTAAAAAAAAAAAAAACTACTTGACGGCTATAAGAAAAAAACAGAAGTTATATGTATGTTTTATCTTCCACATTAGCGGGCAGTACAATCTCATACAAAACTCAAATGCTTCATGACCTGAGCATTAAATACGCCCACAAGTACGTTTTCTACAAGGCAGTGCACCACTAGCAATAAGCTTGGGAAAAATCGAAAGTTAATTTTTTTTTTGTTAAAGAATTTCTCAGATTCTTTAATGTTTCCCAAACATAGTTTATGACTAAATTAACCCATCCTCCAAGTCTATCTACTGCATACTGTATTGAGTGTAGCTTAGAAGAATGATTTACAGACTTAATGGAGGGGAAGAGGTGCTCATATAATTTTACAGAATGTGATACACCCTATACCCACTTCGGAAATTAACTGACTAAATAGTCACCTGCAGTAACTGAGGATTTTCTCGACCTATCTGTTGTAGCAATGCTGGAAGCAGGGAAGGATTCTGTTGAATAATTTGTCTCATCTGCTGAAACTGAGGCTGATTCCGTAAAAATTCAAGAGGATGTCCTAAAATACACATAACGTTTTTAAACAAAAATAGCAATGACATATATACAATCATAATTTGGATAGCAAACACTGGCAAGAAAAAAAACATGATTTGAGTTCTCAGATGTATACAGAATTAAGTAAATAATGACAAAATTTTCAAACTTAACAACTTGCAAGTCCTATACTGCAGAAATTATTACCATTAGCTGAGGTAGAGAGTACAGAATACTAAAAGAATGGCATTTTCCTAAAACTGCTTGTGCTGGGCACTCAATATCATCAAATTATTACTGGGAACTTACGCCCTGCGTGCACTTTGTCAAAACAAAAGTACTAAAAGTTGTTTCTCATGCTCAGAAGTTCCCAAGAAAAATATACAGGCCAGAACTAACAAAAACCCATCTACTTTAATTGCATACAAAAGAATTACGTTTTTGAAGTTAATTAATGAGAAATGAGAATTTTTTAGACGTATGCTATCATTTCCTGAATTATTCAAGATAATCATTCAAATTAAAATGACCACACAACATGGCTATTTTTCTTTGTGTAACACCAGTTTTACATACGAAGGGAATGCAACTCAGAAACTAAGTTACTCCATAAGTGCCGCTGAATGGGACAGTTCCCCAAAAGTGCACCAAAGAGGGGCCTCCTCTTTCCACTCCCATGCTGAATCTCAGAAATGAAAGCCTCAGGGATTTTTGTTAACCAGAGCTGACTGCCATAATTGGAGGTAGGAAATACATAAAAGAATGGTCTCTTCAAAATTAACAATTTGAACTACTCATCAATTTTACAAAAGAGAGAGCAAAGGAGAACATTAAATAATTCCTGGGCCTACCACGGGCTCCAGGCTTTGCCAATGGAAGTGTGGGTGCTGGCCAGTAAAGAGACTTGAATTCAAGCTTTGCTTTCATCTCGAGATACAAGATTTTAAGCCTCCCAGGTTTTATTTCCTTGGTTCTATAATAAATACTAAGATCCTACTGGCTTTGAAATTATACAAACTTTCTGACATTTAATAAGGAGAAAGAGACAAGGCGAGCAAACCATTCCGAATGGCTTCAGACTGTAACACTAAATGCACACCGGGAGGCGTTTCTTCCCTAGAGTAAGCTAAACAGAATATGCCCTTGGCCAAAACTGCAGCAATGATGTTTAATATAAGCAAGAGTATCTTTTATATCCACTTGGTATAATTTCTCTTGGGCTCTTCTCTAACACTAATGAACAGAGAACTTGTTTTAAGAGTTATCAAAATGCTTTGAGAATGAACCCACCTCCAAAGTGCTTCAGGTTAAACTCTGCTACAGTGACAATTCAGGACCACCTCCTCCCCTGAGGTCCCACCTTACCTCCAGAGCTTGCTGTTGTAGTAGTGGCCGTCGTAGTTGCTGCAGCTGCCGCCGCTGAAGGCTGAGGAGCTCCAGTACTAGCTGCTGGAGGGGGGTCAACCACAGCCTGACTCTCTCTGTCTCCAGGAATTCCCTACAACACAATTTCCAAGCTTTAAAACTAATCTCATCATTCAGTTAGTTCAATATTATACAGAGTAAGAGATTTATGAGTCTATTTAATATCTGACTTCTAAAAGCATCAAACACAGGTGTCTGCTTCAATTAAAAACTGAAATCTGCATATATTTAAGTTTTAGATTAGAAAAGGCCTGAATGTGGGGTAAATGAGCCCACACTGCTGTAACACAGAGCAGCACTGTCCAATAAAACTTTCCATAATGATGGAAAAGCTCCATATCCATACTGTCCAATAAAATAACCATTAGCTACAAGTAAATGCTGAGAATTTAAAATGTGGCTAATGGTACTAGAAAGAATTTACTTTAAATTTTATTAAATTTAAATAGCTACTTGTACTCAATAGTACTCAACAGTTACTCTACTAGACAGTGCAGATCTAACTGTAAAGTAAGGAATTTTGTAATTAAAAATGTAAGTCATGAAATGATGTTTATATAGCAACACATGTTAACATCTAACACCAAAGTTTTAGGCAAGATCCTAAATCTGCATTAATTATCTCCAACACTAAAAGACTATTCAGATTTTCAAAATGTCAATACCAATCTTATTCAAATTAGACACACCTGGCTTTTGTTTTACCAGTTCAGTGACAGAAAGAATTTTATTTGCAACCCTAACCTTAAGATCATCCAAAGAAAGAGGTTTATATGCACACATGGCAATTGTGAAGTGACCCCTGGAAAAAAGTCTAGTGGAGCCAGAGCAGGTGACAACAGTGGCCAGCAAACAAGGTGTCCTCTACTGATCCACGGCTCTGAGAAAGTGTTCTCCAGAAAGTATCACATACAAATAATTAAAATTGATTATTCAAAATTTATAAAAAGTAAA